GAGTTAAAAAAACACATTTTAGGAAAATCAACATCAATTTATGAAGTTAGCTTATGTGATGTTCTTTCAAATATTTCAGTTGTATTGAGAATTCAACATTCAAGATGACTTTGGGAAACGAGTGAATGCAACTAGTGAAAGATAACTGCAGACATGGAGGAAATGGGTGAAAAGTCTATTAAGACTCTTTTTCTTTTCTTCTTCTGTTGTTGCACTTTAGCAACATATTAGTGCACTGGTTTATTAATGTCATTGGTTCCTTTGAGGCTACTTGAACATTTTAAGTAAATGTCACTCAAAACATTAAGTAAATTGTTTTATTTGCCTTGAAAGTAGCTGTAACTTAATAAAACCTAGTAAGTATAACAACTAAGTAAAGATAACTAATTAAATCTAAGTAAGGTAAAACTATTGGATTTTACAGTGTATATAGATTTGTATATTTCAGAAATTCACCAAAAATACACAAAATTATATTTCCAGAATCCAACCAAGCTAATAACAATTGTCTATAAAAAAGGGATAATTTGACAGGGATATAATTACACATTAATAAGAAACTTAAACCTCCTAGTTTGGAAAAAAAATAACATTAGGGATCAGATGATGAGGGCATGAGGGCTTATTAATACAGTTCTTTATCCAATTTATATTAAAGGTATGATGTGTGACAGGATTGTGTGACACACATGCACACATGCAGCACTGCGCAGATCGATCGCAATCTGACTTGAAGCAGTGCATGCCAGTTAGTAATTCTGTCCAACTTGAGACAGCGCCGACGCCATGTCACTGTCACCGCGAGAGCGTTTCGAGAGTTTTCTGTGTTTTTAGAACAGTAAAAGCTTTTTTACTGTAGTCGCAATGTTATGTTGAGTCACGTTTATCATAAAACACTGATGAAAGCATACATTCCCCCACTTTATTAGTATTTAAATAGTATATATTTACATTGAACTTTATTCTTGAACAGATGGCGATGTATTAAGACGTATATAATCAGTATATATCTGTTGCTCAGGAAAACGTTTCTGAAACGTCTGTATATTTGACAAATAATTGCATTTAATTCACTTCATCTGTGATGGAGTATGCAAACACCGCGCGAGCGTCACTAACGGGAGCAGAAAGTGTCCAGCTTGACCCCGACTGCAAGCGGCTACTCTCGTTGACTGCCGTCTGTAGCCGTGCTTCAAGTCGAACGCACCTGATGTTACAACTGGTGTGACATCATTGGGTCACATGACCAGGAAGTTATATAGATTTGAATAAATGAAAAATTCACCAAATATGCACAATTATATTTCCAAAATCCAAGTCATGTATGATGTGTCTGAAGTGTTACTGAATATATTACAGGTGCCATAGCAACGCCTGTTTCTACCAGTTAAAAGAAATGGAGTAAAATGTAACAATTCATAGTGAATATCCCATTCACAGCTTAAAATGAAGTATTGTTTTTTTCACTTAATTCACATCTTTATATTTTATTTGCATGATGCATTGCATGTTTCAATCTTGGAATACATATCTTTTTATTATTATATTATTATTATGCACTTTTGATACAGTCCCTTAATTTGCTCAGTGAATGCCTAACGAATGTCCAACATAAAACCAACTTTACCGCACCTGGTTATGTATACATGAAACCATGTGCATTTATACCATATGTTTAAAACCTCTATTGCTGTTTGCACTATTGGATGCTGATTTGATGCCTCTCATGACAATAAAGTGTAATCAATCTAATCTAGATAATGTGAAGGTGTGTTTTGGAAATATGTTCATCAAATTCCCTCAAGAGAGTACCAGATCCATGATCCTTAAAGGTGAGTGTGCCGCCTTCAGCCATATTTTGTCCAAATAACACATTTAGACTGGTCTCTGTGTTTACTTGGCCTCTTGCTGTTATATGGTTCCCAACAGACCATGAGCAGCTTGACAAGGAAATAACTGACCTCCGCAAACGACTAAAAGCAAAAGTAAATCGTCTCAATGACTTGCAAGGTAGAGCTGCTTTATCTGCCTGATCCATTCATAATTTGTCACATATAAAATATCATCTTTAAGTCCGTGTGTAGTAAATATCTATAGCCCCTAATTGTAAGGCAGTGTCATACAATGTTAGTAGATATCAGTGCATCTAATCTTTTCTGCTTCGAATTGTTTCTTGCACAGGTAAGCCTGAACTCAGAGGATACAACCTTTCTCCTCTGAGCAGTGATGAGATTAAAGCAATTAACAGCCTCTTTAAGAAATAATATCCACTAGCTTCTCGGACTGTCTTGAACCTGAGGGTAACGTTTGGACTGGACTGTTACCTGTGCGTCGGAGCACTGAAGTGTCTGCAAACCGCCTGTGACTTTACTAACTCAGCAGAAGAACTTTTTTCGGTTGACTTTTGGTGACCAGCTCACACAATGTGTCTTTTCATCATTCAGTGCTTTTGCATGGCGTTTGTTTAAAAGTCTTGCCTGCGTTTTGTGGTGTGAGAAACACAATTGTTGAAGTTAGAGTAAGCCAAAAATAATGCTAAAATGCTTGGGTGGGTATTACCATTAACATGTAGCCTGTATGTTGTTACTTTCACATGTTCTGTTATTAATGGCAAGCAAACACAATTCTTGAACTTTCGAATTCAATGAAGTTTCTGTCAAAGTCTGAAAACTCATTTCTGCAGTAATTATGTGTGGTTCATATGTTGTGAATTGAAAATGTTTTTACTCAATAAATGAAATTTTTGCTTTCAGTTGATTTAAAGTTCATTATGTTTTTTCCCATCGTTTCCTCATGTTGTAAACAACGCCACTGTCCACCTAAATAGAACATGTACGTTTTATCAGCAGTTAGCCAAGAGTTTCTCAAAGCACTAGGATGATCTTAGTTCTTTAGTTTGCTGTGTTATGAAAGTGACTGCATGGGTCTATAAGCCATGGGAGTGGACAAATGGAATTTGAAAAGAAAGGTTTTTGGAAAATCACCTTAATGATCCATACATTCAGTTCCATAGAGAACTGGCCACTGTAGGCCAAACACCTGGTTTACTAACCAGTAAAATTGCTATGCAAGAAGACTGAAGACCTTGCAAATTAGTATAGTGATTATAAACCATATTAAACATCTCTCTTGCCTATATGCTGACTATCTCTGCTTGGAAGGAAAGTAGTTTCAACCCTGTCAGATTCTCTGACTCTAGATGGCAGTGTTTCTTTATTTCTAGTGTATGTGTGGTTGTTGAAATGCACTTGTATGAACAGTGATCTGGACAGATGGTCACTGTAAAACTCTCCACTCTATTGTTATGAAATGATCTAGAATAAGACTTTTAAATGAAGAGAGAGGTCAGTGATAAAACACTTTAGCAATACTAAAAAAAAAAAAAACGGTCAATTCAATGACAGGAAATGCTTTGTGGCAAAGGAACGTTTGCCAGGTTGCGTGCAGTGGTACAGTCCTGGATTCAGTCCAGTGTGATGAATTTATGAGTCAGATGAGGTGGGAAGCAGAAGTCTGTTCTCAGTTATATAATCTGCAAACGAGTCATTCCACTAGAGGAGAACGACACGTGAAAACACATTCAACAGGTTCATAACATGCAGTTATGCAAAGCCTGCCTAATGTTAAGTGCAGAAATGCTGCTGTGATGTTTAATGATAGCAATTTGTTCTTATGACCGGTGTGAGGTTGTTGTGACACAGAGGCCATTACACTCCCATTAAAACAAAGAAAGACCGAGAACAAATCATCTCTCGTGCGTACAGTCATAATGATCGAATAGCATCGAGTTTGCACAGAGATGAGTCAAAGCTGAGACTGTCTGTTCCTGCATTATTTGTGCCCCAATTTTACAAACATATCATTTAAACACTGCATTTGCCCAAGGGGAACTTTGAATAGAAGCCCACAACAATTTACTGTCTGTATGCCCATGACTCAACATCTAAAGACCCAAATACTGAATAGTTTGAAGAAAATGTTCAGCTTTAAGTGCTTCTTAATACATTAAATGATACGGTCATCTCATAGTAAATGTTTTGGAGAGTTGCAGGAATATTGTTGCTTTTGGCTTTTGAATTATGCAGTAACTTGCATTCGTATTTTCCTAGTGAGAGCAGGAGAAGACTGTAATTATCAGTTCTGTCAAAACTTTGACAAGTAAATTACAAATCAATTCAACATCTTCCATACAGCTTACTTTGGACTTGTCTGTTGCCTTTCTTTAGTGGTTAAGAGCTAGACATCTCCCTTAGGGGTGTTCGATTCCAGGTTTTTCGGAGTCGACTCCGACTCCCACCACAGGAGTGGATGGAATCGACTCCATTTAGCGTGACTGTCCAAATTAGTCCAGTTTAGTGGTGGTGACACTACCTTTAAATGTGCTATCATCAATGTTGTTAGCTGTTAGCCGACACCTAATTTTACAGAGGGAAAACGGAGGGGGAAAAGCCGTAGTGGAATATTATGTCAGGATTAATAAGGTATTCTTTAATGAATTCTTCACATTATAATGGTCAGGGGATGGCGCTGTATGTCTTAAACAGCATTGATATTAAAAATAAATGCAATACATACAAAAATACATTCGAATATAAACCTATCGATTTGTTTATTCTTGTTTGTCTATCATCGCAGTGATCATTTACCAAGAGTTTCCTCATCCGAGTCTATTTTTGCTGTGCTGCACACGCTGAATTAATGTGACGGCGCATTGCTTACAGTAAAAATAAACATGGATTGATACGAAATGTATTAATTACACTATAAATGCAAATAAGTAGGCCTAAAGTTTTTTAACACCGCTTTTTAGCTATATGGGTAAAGCAAGGAAAAAGTATAAAAATGGCAACATAGATGGCACTCATAGAATTAGAAAAACAATCTTTATGACCCAGCAGGATTGTAATAAGGATAATGCAAAAGAAAATGCACAATACAGCTGTTTCTGTCAATGGTAAGTTTTAATTTAAATTGTTTGTGATAGCCTACTGCAAACTGTTATTTACTGCAAAACGCTTTGCTGATATACTGCACTCAAATCCCAGGCAGGTTTGAGAATCAGTGACGACATCAGCGATTCCGGAGTCGACGTACAATGAGAGTCGATTCCAGTCCCATCCCTAATCTCCCTGCTCATCTAATGTGCTCTAGAAATCCTACTGTTATTATTTTATGAAGTATTTAACATTCAGGCCAAACTAAAGACAACCGTTTCTGAAGAGTCCTTTTTTGTCCCAGTATGACAATGTCCCTGTGTGTAATGTGTTGTGCATTAAAAAATGCGGTTAGACTTTATTTTAAAGTGTCCTTGTTACAGTGTAATTATACATATAAGTACTGAGTAATATTAATTAACTACATGTACTTACTATATGGTTAGGGTAAGGATTTGGTTTGGCTTAGGGTTACTTGCATGTGATTATGCATAATTAATTGTTATTATGGGAGTAAGTACATGTAACGTGTAACAAGGACACCTTAAAATAAAGGTGTTACCAAACATGCTTTACTAAGTCTGGTGTTGAAGAACTTGACTGGTGTACACAAAGCCTCACCAAACACCTTTGGGATAAATGGAAACAGTGATGTTGAGCTAGGCCCCATCACCCAAGATCACTGCCTGACCTCACTGATGCTCCAGTCTGAATGAGAGCAAATTCACACAGCCATGTTCCAAGATTTAGTGGCAAGCCTTCCCAGAAGAGTGGAAGCGGATGACATTATCCAGCGTACATACCACAAAAACACTGAAGCTACTTTTTTTTTTGTGGTAGTATAAGGGAAAAGCAGCTAATTAAAACCACAACTACATGGATCCCTTAAGATTAATCATAAATCAAAAAAATTATGAACACCAGGCGAGGGTCTGCACCTTCTCAAACAAGAATAGACCACTAGAGTGTTTCTGCTCAAAAGCTTTGCATTTCAGGTTGTTGGCTCATCTTGTGCTGTCAGTTTTTGGAATGGCAGTATTTAGTTTTAATGTAGATGAAAACTCCACAAAAATGCAGATTATCAGACAATGACCTCCGTCTTGAATGCATCATAGGTGATCTGAATGTAACTCCAAAATCAAAACTTGGATGACATTTTAATAATACAATACAGTCTCAGAATGAAGCCAACCCTTGAGTTATGGTGAAAGAATTAGGTCCTTCACTTTTTCTTCATGCTAGACTGAGAATGAGATGAAAATGAAATAGCATTTCAACATTGGTATGCGTCTAATAGGTCTCAAAAATCACAGTTCACGTTGGAGTGATGGGCATGGATTTAAACCTTCTGTTTTAATTGTGTTTCTTTAGCCTGTGTTTGTCTGACTCCAGCAAATTCTCGAGGGACCACCATCCTGGGACTCATTCCTCTGTGGTTTCTACATGCAAACAAGAGACTTTACAAGTTTTTATGGAATTAATTGAAAAATTATTTCTAGTGTGAAAGCTATTGTCATTCGTCTTATTCTTCTTGAATAATAAGAATGATAACAAGCAATATAATTAAATAATAATACAATACAGTCTCAGAATGAAGCCAACCCTTGAGTTATGGTGAAAGAATTAGGTCCTTCACTTTTTCTTCATGCTAGACTGAGAATGAGATGAAAATGAAATAGCATTTCAACATTGGTATGCGTCTAATAGGTCTCAAAAATCACAGTTCACGTTGGAGTGATGGGCATGGATTTAAACCTTCTGTTTTAATTGTGTTTCTTTAGCCTGTGTTTGTCTGACTCCAGCAAATTCTCGAGGGACCACCATCCTGGGACTCATTCCTCTGTGGTTTCTACATGCAAACAAGAGACTTTACAAGTTTTTATGGAATTAATTGAAAAATTATTTGTAGTGTGAAAGCTATTGTCATTCGTCTTATTCTTCTTGAATAATAAGAATGATAACAAGCAATATAATTAAATAACACCAGCCAATGACAGGTGAAGAATGCCACTACGGTCTGCACTGGTTTTTGCAGAAGTTTTGTTGTGTTTCGGTAGTTCAAATACTGACCTAATTTTCCTCAGTGTGAGGGCTAGCGGAATCGTAAGATGAGATGTTTATTGTGGATATGCGAAAGTAAGCCTTGGCTAGACTTTATAAAACACTTAAACACTCTTGCCCCCTGTTTGCCCCTCAGTGGCATTCATAGCTTCTAAAAACCCTTCTTAGTTCCATTTTCAAATGCCGTGGTCTAAATATGCCTGGGGTGTAGCAAAACTCTCAAATATATTTCCTCCTGAAATGGTCATTCTTTTATTCCTATCATTCCTTGGTTCATGCAGAGTCGAATGCATACCAGAATCAGTTTTATGAGTCAAGATTTTTCGCAAATTTTGAATTATCCAAAAAACCTACTTTTTCAAACTAGTCCAGACAGTTTGTCTGATTTTCACCAAAATTAGCTATGATCATCTTCAGACCATGCTGGCAAAAAGTTATGGAATTCAAATTAATTAGTCAAACTGTTCTCGCGCAAACGAATAACACGCAAATGAATTTGACGAAGAGCATGCCAAAATGGACGTGAGGCTATATCTCCACAATGCTTTAGTGTATTCAAACCAAACATGGTGTGTGATATAACAACCATGACTTGGGGGTACCTGCACAGTTTCGAAACACTGCCACCTAGTGGTCAGGAGATGTGAAAATGGCTATTTTTGCTTAGAACTTCTGAAAGGTTTGGCCAAAAATC